CTATCGCGCATTAGTTTGAGACCTGATACCTGTTACATACGACGATTATCTACATGATCTTTCCCTATCCTCATCTTTAAGCGTCGGCTGCCCACGCCCATGGGCTTTCTTTTCCCCCTCGCTGTCGTGAGATGTCCTCATATTCTCGAGCGCGGGTATTGGAGCTGTTGAGCCTATGGTTTCTGCCGCCTATCGGCGCTCTACATTCAGGACTAAAACAGAACTAGGTTAAGAGTTGGCAACGATTACATTGATTGACGAACTGACCATTGACTAGCCTCCATCGCTCCTCCGCACTGAAAAGATATTTCAGCTTCTCAGACATCTGTTTAGACGATGTATATACCTCTGTGATAACGAACGTGTGGCCATTTATGCAGTTGTAGAAATGACCTCGATGCGAAAATCCTAAGGCTTGAACAATGTCTTGTTTCTCCTGCAAAGACATCGGCTGATAGACGGCATCATTCATGATGTGATCTTCCAATTTTCTGTATTCTGTGAAGCAACGCTCAATTTTGGCGCGGCAGTTCCCATGGAACCATCGACGGTCTTCAGTGACCTGGGATGAATCACTTGATGGACGGCTTGCAAAGTATGACAGTTCGAGCTCTCTCAAGCATCTCTTCAACCTCTTCTTGTCCGCCTGGACTTTCTCTATCAAACTATCCCGAGCGTCTGCTGATGCACCATCTTTGAAAACCTGCCTGCGCTTCTCCAACATCGAAAAACGAAACTGTTCAAAGTCTGAACAGAGCATCAAGGTGGCGGAACGAGCGGCCAGACGTGATGAAGAAGTTGCATGAGAGATGGTAATAGCCTTCTGACAGTCGATGATGCACGACTGATAGATGAACAGTGTGAATGAGTACCAGACATTACGATGATGAGGAGCTTCAGGTTCGTTGGAAGTCATTGGAAGCGCCTCAAATCTAGACCGAGCAATGCTTCCCAACATGAGCCTTAACTCGACTGATAATATAAATGCTTCGAGATGGTAGCGACGATCAGCCTTATGAGGCGGTTGTCCAATCTTCTGGTCAACATTGCGCATTGCAATGTGTTCGGGAGGGACCTGGTGTATTTCCTCAGGTGGTTCGGCGGCAAGGTGGGCAAGCTCCAAGCGGTAAAGAGTAGCAAGAGCCGACTCGTATGCGCGGACATGTGCGGACCGCGTCTTCGTAATGTTAGCTACCTTTTTGTAGATCCTAAGGAAATCTACAACGATAGCCATCCATGATTTGGCCTCAGATTCAGACAATCCGTGACGAGTGACCATAGACCCAGCAGTGAACGCACCAGGGTCCAATACTTCGTCTGTCTTCATCATTAAACCTTTCCTTGTTTCGACAAGGTGCTCAAACACATCAGCAGGTTGACAGTCGGATTTTGGTGCGGCTTTAAGTTCTTTAGCCCGAGCTTCTAGTTCTGCCAGACCGTTTCTGAAGGTCTCAACAGATGGGACGACCTCCGCCAGACGTTGGGACATCACACTGGCCACATTCTGTTCCAAAATGTCGAGATTCGCACGCTTGAGAATCCTTCCATAGCGCCGAGCCGTAATGTGTGACCGGCAAGTTGGACAGCTTGGTGGTAGCTGAAATTCGGTGGGAGGAGCTTTCATTCCAGTATAGGAACCCATCCCATCGACCTCGTAATAGTCAGTCATATGACAATGTCCGTCTAAAGTCTCCACTGTGAAGATGTGACCGCAATCTAGAGTAATCAATTTGTCGCTGATGTCCTCCGATCCAACAGGTATCTCAGCCAGTGTCCGTTGCATGACAAAGTCTACGATGTCCATTTTGTCTTCGTCAGAAAGACATTCGATGCACTTCTGTTGAAGGCACGGTTCACCACATACTGAAACAAAGCCTTGTTTGGATTGTTTCAGAACCCGAACATAAGCAGAACTTACCTGAAGGGCAGATATGGCCGCATTGGAGCACAGTACGGCATGGTTCATCACATGGTAAACGTGCGCATATCTTGAGTCGAAGTCACCAACCATAAAACGGAAATAAAATGATGCGACTCACCGATCCACATAGAACTGGACAGGACAAATGTGGACAGATCCAGTCGCATGGCTCGGCACAAGGTGCACAGTCCTGAGCGCATGGCTTGGGACACTTGTGGTGAGAACAACGTTGGCGGCATGCCTGCGCACATGAAGTATTACATTCATGGTCTTGAGAACAGTCGAGACCGCATTTGTGTTGACAGAATAAGAGTCGCTCGCATTGATGTGATTTGTGCAAGATGCGAATGATTCTTAAGCTGAAAACTCTTTCGATCCCGGCCTGAGTTACTGGCAGATTAAGTTTTGTGCAGTCCCCACAAGACGACTTGCACGTCTTTCCACAGCACGACATAGTTCCTCCGCAAGCATTGAGGCATTTGTGCTCTTTGAGATCATCCGAACAGTAAACTGTTGCTTCATGTCCACAGAGCGGCAACCATTTTATGACCTCTTCATGACAGAAAACTGAAGATAGGTCTTCTGCTTGATAGCTGCGGGAGATAGCAACTTGAAGTGAGCCAAGCGTCGTCAACACGAAAGGTGATCATCATACCATGAAATTGATGCTTTATGGCCGCAAGGAAGTTCGACGTTGGAGAGTGGGAATTCACAGGGGCCACACTTGTCGGAGCATCTCTTATGGCATGGGTGCATACGAGGGCATGGAGTTCGGAGACATGGCATATAGCACTGCATACTGCGATGTTTGTCGAGATCAAGATGGCACTAAGAATACGACAAAATTGAGTATCGACAGCACTTAGAAGAGTGAAATGAATATACCATAGAAGGACAATTGTGACCGCAGTCCATACGGTAATCACAAGGCAAGCAACAGCCACCTACAAGCAGTTCTGTTAATTCTGACGGTCCTAGGAGTTAATCTGTATCTACTCACCTTCTGGTGCCACAACACTGAGTTGGCCCGGTGCCGTTATTATATTCCTCTGATTTGGGTGGCGAGGGCATATCACTGAAAAGCCAAAACCAATCTGGTCCCGTTGTTCCATTTCGTCTATGATAGTCTTCCAGGTCGGATTTTGACGAAGGTTGGAAGCGTTTCCTAGGATGTACAGCCCGTGCTGAGCCCGAGACAGTGCCACATTAATACGATTTACAGACTAAAGGTATTCGTGACATGAACAAGCTGATTGAACAAGAGACGTCCAAATTACCTTCAGGAAACCAATTGACGTGTCGCTATCGAAAGATCCAGAATTTCGGACGAGAGAAACGACGACGATTTTTGCTTCCTCGCCCTGGAAGATATCGACAGTTCCTAGACGAACCTAGAAGGTGTCATCAACCAATGTTATGGAGGGGAAACAAAGGAAATCGTACATGCTTGGACACAGTGACTTGCTCTACATAACCTTCGTCGTCCATTCCCTCCCGGGCTAGCTGATCCTGATCGCGTTCGTCGACAGAAACGGCAACTTTGAGGGAGTTCAGAGTGGATTTCAGCTCTCGTAACTGGCCCAAATATGCGCAAAGGACAGCAATATCTCCGGGTGAACTATAAGCCTCCTGCTTCAAAAAGTACATGACAAGGTCAACAATCATTTTAACCTGGTATTTGTTCAGGCTCTCCTTCTATGCAAACTTTCGGAAATCAACTCACTTCAAATGTATTGACTTTGGATACCGAGCCTTCATCTGCAGCTTTCTCCCGGTTTGTGTGCGTAAAGAAGAAAAGATCCTTTTCCATCCCTTGAATCGGAGGGTACTTTGTGACGATATCGTGGTCCTCCAAGTTAGAATACAAAATTTTTCTGATGGATGCATAAATCACGAAACGATTTACTAGGAGAAAGGCAACAAACCGAATGTTATGAGAAATGGTAGGACGCATTCTCCTCTGGACGTTGATCTGGGACATTGGGAACCCACCATCGGCCAACCGTTCCATCAAAGAACGGTCAAATTTGTACAGTTCACGTCCCCGTTCACTATCCATAGATAGAGCTGCAAAAGCAAATGAAGCTGAGCCACGGGTCTAGATATCCTAGAACTCACAAAAATTGGCCAAGGTGGGACGAAGTTGCTTCGGATCTCCTATACAAATAAGATGTTGCACTTGGATACGATCAGACTCGAGAAGAATAGATTACCATCGTCCACTCACCAGATGGCACAAGAGAAGACAAGATATGTGCCTCAAGGACTTGTCCTGCCTCTTCCACCATCAGCACTTTGGGCGCCACGGTCTGAATACCGATACAGATGCTAAGAAAATGACAGAAGAAAAAGGGTGGACTGTACTTACCGTCAAAAGTGAAGTGAGTTTAGCAGCGCCATTAGTAGTACATCCAATAAGGTCAACTCGAGATAGTAATTGCCGTCGACTCTGTAAATCATAAGCTGACCAGCTTCATCGTACTCAGTAGCTGCTACTGACTTCGTCCTTTGCATCGTTAAACCGCTTGCAAGCAGCTTCATATTCTTTCCGTCGCTCTTCGTAATCCTGTCGATGTTTGCTGTACGCAAAAGTCCTCATTTCTTGTTCCCAGAATTCTGACAGTATTTGTCGCTCTTCGACAGACATACGCCAGATGGCATCAGCGACCATCAGCCTATCGATCCGCCTGGAAGTAGTGGGAATAGACGGAAGCTCGCCCTCTGGAAATCCCAATGGTATGAAGAAGTCGTTCATACGCATTGAATACTCCTGTTGCAGCTGCAGAAACTCTGCTACAAGGGTCTCCTGTTTCTGCTTCTTCCCTCCAGCTGACTTCTGCTTCTTTCCTCTAGCTGACTGCGCGATGTTCTGCGGTAGCTGTGGAGGCTGTAGGAACGAGATATCTTGTCCTGTTTTCCAAAAGGAATATATGGTATTCGGGATGTCGATATCTCGTTTTTTCTTGTTTTTGTGCACAGTTGTCCATTCCCCTTCTGCTTCAATATTCTGGCGAAGGTCTTCTGCTAGTTTATCGATCCAGAAAGGAGGTTCTGAGAACGAGATATAATGATCGGGGAAATTCTCTTGCGGATATTCGGAGACGGTCTCCCAGGTGTGCGAAGGCGTTTGGATATGCTGTAGGATCGTTCTCATTTCGTCCTCTAGTTGACCCATGGCAAAACGTTCCTTGCCCACAATCTGATCTAGCGGCGAAGGCCTTCTATCCGTCATCCTCTCTAGCTTGTCCAAGGTATATTCATTGATGCGTTCATCCGAGGACCGTGATCCCAACCTAACAAGATTCTTCGTGATATCCGCATCCAACAAGGAGAGCAGCATGTGGTCCAGTGCATGATTTGTGAAAGCGATCATCACAATGGGCTTGACCTTGTTGGCGAATAAGACCCGAAGCAACTCTTTGCCGGTGAAACTCTATACTTGCTTTTAGAACGCAGGTCGCATCCCAGGATCAATACAGAAAATACATACCTTTCCGGTACCTGGAGGTCTAGATTCCCAGAGACCTTGTAAAGCGTCATTCAAAGCGTGGAGAATAACAAGAACATACCCTTGGATTAGAGAGACCTCCCTTGTCAAAGCATCGACCACTGCATCGCATTGACTAGGGTCTAAATTGCTTGATGTCTTCAGCTGCAGTCGGGCTCTCCGGATTGATAAAGGGTCCATCGTGTTCAGTGGATGGGACACCCTGATTCTATCTTTCGAGAGACACTCTAGGTTATACCGAAAAGACGGGTTTTGACTATACTTTGGAGGCGCAACCGTGACACCTCCCAGATCGACCCCACAAATATAACCGGAAAACGGCATGGAAGTAGGTTCAACGGAACGCAGCTTCTCCAAAAAGGGCCTGATAGATTCAAACATGATGTTGTTATCCACCAAGAAGGCAAACCGGTTCATATCGATGGTGATCTTTTCCTGTCGAAGAGCGCCAAGCTCTACGTGGGGATCAAAAAAATTGACGCGAATTGTGATGCGGCTCTCATGGGCCTTGGACGACTCGATAATGTCATCCGTCGATGAAGAAACACTGCCAGCATAGACGCTTAGACGACCAAACGTTGCGATGACTAAAACGACGATGCTGCCAGCGCTGAGTCGCCGTGAACCAGAATGTTCCCAGAACTCTTTTCTGACTTTGGGATCAGAGTGTCGGGCGTGTTCTGAGGGTGGCGCATCGACAACGAGCCCGACTGTGAAACCACGTCGTTCCACTTGAAGAGGGGCGTATTCGACATTTGTGTAGATATGGAACATAGTCGAGTCATATCCAGAGGTGCGGTATATGCCTCCCTTGGCCTTGAGTAAATTTTGTAATTGGACTGGCGGGGCGTCACGTCTTGATGCTTGTGCCTGCATAGCATCATAGTCAAGTTGAATAGTAGATATCGAGGCGCGGATGGGGGCACTAGAACACGTGCATCTCAGTACTCATCACAAAAACACTATCAGATGACTTACACGAGCTCCTCGCGCAAGAGACGGAACTGAATGTCCAGGTGCCGCTCCATTGAATTTGGAGCCAAATGATGTGGAGCGTCTGGAAGGTTGACGGGAATGTATGGCACAGCAGCAGAGATCATCTCGTCATGCGTAGGGACGATCTGTATGTCGGCTATGTCACAGTGATCATTGCTGTGTCGAGGACCAAGAAGGCGGAGGGCACCGGGAGCGTCGTAAGTCTGAATGAGACGAGCCTGCAATGCTTCATATCGATGCTCTTCCCTCAGACCCTGAGGCTGCGCTGGTCTTCGTCTGCTCTGCGCATTTGCGCGCTCTCGCTGTACGATTGCGTCGAGTCTGCTTATGGACTCTTTGATTTGTTCCAGCGTCAATCGCTGAACGGTGGGGTCAATGGAATCATCAAAGCTCGCCGTCATGATCAGTCTCGCCCATTCGTCGTGCCATCGAACGAGGTTGCCAACGAATACGGCGATATCTGGGTGATTATTGATGGCATGTTTGAAACGTTGAAAATATCTGAGAGGAGTTAGCGTGATGATGACTGAAAACGGGTAGAGGCTCATACTGGGTTAGCAGGGTCGCGATCGTGCCGAAGACGACCACTCCCGAAAGACTGCTTTGCCGTGAGGCAGGAAGAGCTGGCGTAGGATCTTTCCAAGATCGATTCTGAATCATTTGCTCCATGCATGAAGAAACGATGTCGAGCATATGGTCGAGACCACTATCCAGGGCACTGTATAAGGCGCTAAACAACGTCAGTTCGATAGAGTGTATGTATATCTGAGACGACATACTGGATATTATGATGAAGATTGGTTTTGAGGATTAGGTCCGAGCCAAAGAACTGGAGCTCTGATGAGAAATGTGACAGAGAAGACAGAGACAATGGTTACCTGAAGAAGCGGGAAATATCCAATTTGAAACGAGAGGGTCGTGAAGCCTGTACCAGCACGACAAGAAACGGGGGAATATTGCAAGACCTCGCGGATGCGAGCGAGGACATGGTGCTTGTTCGCTTTGATAAGACCATGGTCATATAAAATTTTACAAAGCTTTACCTTCAAATTGACTATCATTTCAAGAAACGACTGGGCCCTAATGGTATCCTATGAGAACGTTTGATTAGAAGAAGAGCTGGCGTTATGCAAAGAGAATACCCATTGTGAATTTCGGCGATCAACGCTGGCTAGAATCTGGACAAACTGAACGACTCGATCCGGGCTCATGAACTGGAAGTCTGGACTATTGAACTGCTTGAGCATGTTATGCGCCTCTGTCGGGCTCATGGCATGCAAGCTGTGTAAGGACATATTGTTTATATCGGCCAACCCTTCGGTAGTCAGAAAGTCGAGGGTGTCAGTTTCCGAACACGTTGCCATTGGAGGCGCCTCTACAATCTGCGGCTGACGAACATGGCGGTATGTACAGTCGAATCCTCGTCGACATTCCCCAGAAGTCCAGAAGAACTCGCAGTTCCCCCGGCCTGCTGTGATTCCCTCCGGCCTGCTTGATGATCTGGGAGAATGCAAGGGAGTTGACGACGCCGAAGGTGTTGGACTTCCGGTTCTTTCGTGGAGAAACTTGCAGTTCTGAAAACGGCACCCCCTAGAAGAGTTGAAGGATCGGCAGATTTGCCTGTCCCGTCTGTTGGACATGTCAGAGAGGTATGGGAGAAGAAAGACCTCAAGGCATCAATAGGCGCCTATTCGTTGCTAAGATCACCTGATCATGGACGAAAAGTCTGGTTAGCTGCTTGCTGAAGTTAACGCATAGGCTATCAAACTTACATAACCCCTGGAATTGAATAAACTGACTTCGTACCAGACCTGAGGCTAGTCGCCAGAATAGATGCCACGTAGTGTCTGGGTCCATTCAACATACCAACTGGAAGTGCGGACAGTATTCTTGACCTAACTCATTTTGAAAACATGGAAATAATCAGGATGAATCCCTCGTCAAATTTTGGTACGTTGTGGTGCTGGTGATATCCAGGCAGGGAGGACGGAATTTGAAAAATTTTAAACTCGATTCTCGAAGTTGTTGAGCGATACTATAGATTGATTGCTGTTGAAGATCAGGATAAGAAGGACCACGAGGATGTTGATGAAGGAGACAAAGATGCTCTGAAAAGGCTGCATGTATAGTAAGTGCTGCCTGACTCAGATCACAAAATAGACTCTGAGTTAGGCAGAACTTATTATTATTAACAAAGTGATCTTTATTTTAGGCGGTGATAAGATGCAAGTCCCCTATTCTTGATTTTTTACTCAAGGGAGACCGACCATATCCATCCCCTACTATAACGTTCACTCAGCCTTGAAGGTGTGACGCAAAGAATTCCGCTTGTCATACACATAAATCTTGGTGCTCATCGTAAGGTATCTTACGACTCACCAAAGGATAGCACCGAAGACTTGATGCCCGCCCAAGTGTCGTGTAATTGACGTGCTGAATACCGAATCCATGCTAAGACCTAAATATCTCTGACTCCAGAACAGTAAACACGCACCTGACGGGCGTCCTACTTCTTCATTCAGCATCGTCGAGCAGGATCCTATCGAGGTACGTGAGGATGTCGTCTAGAAACAACTGATGGGTCGTTCTTTAGCCTGAAATGAGACTCTAGGCACACTCGTTCAATCCACGAACTTGTTTATAGGTCCGTTTTCCAGTTTTTGAAAGGCTCTGAGAAGCCGAACTGGGAAACCACTGCCTGGCAATGGTCAATTATAGCTTTAGAAACTCCTACTCACCAATTTATTACTGTCCTGCGGCAATGTACGAATGGTCACCGATGCGGCATCGGACCAGCCATATTCCGAGTTAAGAGTACATCGTGGACGGACCATAAACGACATCAAGATTAGAGGATAACAAAAAGACCAGAAGAGGTACGTGAGGAGGGCTGGCGAGTACAGGATTGGTACAGAATTAAAAGTAGATGGTGAACGGACGAAGCTTGGCAAACCCGGCACTGGCAACACACGGCAAATGCCGAACGTCCCCTTAACCTTAGGCCACAAATCACTCGCAAATGGAGCGCCCCATGGATGGGAGAAATACCCAGTAAACCTTTCTTACTTCCTTCCGGAAGGCCCTGTCACCCCCATTCCTCCAACTAACAAACCATGGCGCTATGCTACAGGAGAAATTGTGCTTGGTAGCCGTCCCGGTTCAAACCCTCTCTTGAGCTTCAGAGAGACACTATGTTCGAACGCAAGCGGTAGGCTCTGGAACGAGGTCCCCAATCAGGTGTACATGTGGGTCTCCGCCGAGCTTGGAGAACTCCAACCCGAACAATCCCATCCACAAAGTTTTGCCTTCTCTCTGGCTTAGGTTTGGTCTACTTGGGGAGTCCTAGACCATTGGAACGGGCGATATTCCTTCGGTTGTCTATTAGGAACGCCATCAAACCCTGAAGCATAACTCAGGTTATCTGTATGACCTTACCATAGCGGCACAACGTCCTTGTTTGCCCGGGTTTGAAACCCGGTAGTGCTTTTGCGTATTTAAACATCCCCCCCCTCAATAATCATGCTGTAGCTTTTATTCATATAATGACATCTATTCCCTGGATCTACACGACCCCAAGGCCTTCCGTCCGTCTCTCCGCTTAGTTCCATGCGTTGATGGGTTTGGTTGTATAGCCAATGGTGTGTTTCTTGTCGTTCTTGTCGTCCACCGTTTTCTGATCATCTGTTAAGGGTGACGTCGCTCGTCTCTCCCATTGTCAATGCGTGCCACACTTTGGCGTTACTAGTGAGGGCAACGATTGCCCTAATTGACACCGGCTAGCCTCCATTGCTCCACCGCACTGAAAAATATTTCAATATTTCAGCGCCTCCATTTAGTTGACGTTCGTAATTCCGTGATAACGAACGTGTGGCCATTCTGAATTCATGCAGAGCTGGTGGTAACGAGCATAGGTGATAGTGTGTTTTCTCCATCATGATCGTTGCCTACATTCGGATTATTTGCCATGGACTGAGATAATGACTCCGCCTCTCTCTCATTGCAAATATTTGCATGACATTAACCAGATGAGCTGCAGCAAGTTTCGACATCCGTAACGTGTGGCTAAAAAGCTCCGTCGTAGTTCTCTCAGTCGGCAACACGCTCATCCAAGGTGCTATGCCCAGGTGGGAGTTGGCTGGAGAGGACGTCGATATCAGTGAACCTGTCTACCAAATAAGGCATTTCTTTGACAGTATCGCCACAAGCTAAACACAATCACCACAGGAGTCGAGCGCGCAGGTTGGCATGTACACCCGGACTGGATGGAAGAGGGCGGAAGGTAGACTTGTCCTTGGAGAACGTGGCAATGGACGTTGTGTAGCGTTGCACACAAAGCGGCAATCATGAACATTGTATCTTTCTTCAACATTATGTCGCCGCCCTACGAGGCAGAAAGCCCCGAATCAGTCTCCTCTTCATCCTCCCTCCCAGACTTCCCCATATTCGCTCCGATTCTTCCGACTAACCACTACGGAGCTATGTTCCTGTAGTCCTGGTGGTTCGGTCCCTCGTAGCGGTCCTCTTCAGTTTCGAAGACAATGTTTTGTATCGGCGCGAGTGCTCGGCTCTGACTTGGAACGAACTCTCCGAAGTAACCCCACCCCCTTCAGCGTTATACAGTCACAGGAAGTCAGGGTTAGCGGTCGCGGCACTTTGGGGTGACTGTCGCCGGTCACCGAAATGACCATGACCGTGACTTTGTGGCTGTGTTCATGGTTTTTAGTCATGCATGCGATATCCTTTCTATAACCGCTAACTCAGCATCTTGCGAGCATCTATCACTCCAACGACTGTGACAGTCATGACTTTGGTGAGTGTTCCGTGACCGCACAACACTACCAGAAAAACTCGAAGCACAGTTCAGGGTATCTGTACCATGATGTAGCAACATCCTCTGAATCGGTCGCCCAGGTTCGAAACCTATGCTTACTTCGCCTTCCCGATAACCATTCTATATCTTCAACACGATCCCGCTTTGTCTCTCCGCTTAGTTTCATGCGACACTTAGAGTCACCGCGCAATGCGTCTGATATGCATGAATGGATGAACAATTTATGTAAAGGCCGTCTCAGATGCGGCGTTGGAAAATGCTTCTACCAGGGATTCTCCATGTTTTTCTACTCAAGACGCGTATTGAATTTTTGGATGAAACGCGTACCCTGGACCAAGCATCGGCCATCACTCGAGTATCTGTATTGCTCCGTCAACGTATCAAAATGAAAATTTACGTTCCATAGGTGTCGGACATGTGTTAAAAGAGGATTCAACGGAGAGCATTCTAAAACCGGCGTTGGTAAGCGGCAAACACGGAGCGAAGCTCAAGCTGCTCTGGCCATCATTACACGAACTCCCGGCCTGAGGAAGCCTCTCCATCCTGAAAGCGCGATTCTATAAGTGCTGCCTTCTGCATCTTTCTACATGCCCAGCTTCTCTGATGGCCTCGCTGCCCTCTCGATACAAAGATTTGGGGTTGCGTGGACGGCCCTACAAACACATACACACAGATAACGGTGGCATTAGTGACGGAATGATTAATTTCTGGACCAATCAGCCGACTCCTTATCGTGTCGTGAATGCTCATCTTTTCCCAGACTCGAACTCGCGTTTCCCCACACGCAATGAATACAGGTGGTGTTGAATACTTAGCGTTTATATCATCTGTCAAGCGAAGTGGCGCGTTCGAAGTCTATCTGTACGATATGGCCAGCGGTTCACTGAATAAAACCGGGGGTGGCACCATGCCGAGGTTCATCAATTTTGCCACTCTATTTGCAGATAATATTCAGTACGAGCACTAGACACAAGTCCAGAGCATGGAAGGCAGAAAAGAGCTGCACATTCCTTATCGCTGGTGGATTCCTTTTCTTAGTCTCATTTCTGTTATACACGGTTTCGGCGCCCTGCAGGCATTTTATTCATGTCGCCGATGAATCTTTGGATGCCGTGCCATATACTTGCTCTCTATCCTCCCATGAACCTTCTAATTATCCCGTAACCTCTTCGTCGAATACATTGACGTGGTGTTACCTCCTTATTTCCTGTCCTACTGATCTCCCTATTCGCTGCACGCTTCTGATTTCGCATGGCTCACCAATTGGCGGTGAATTTAGAGGTGGATTCTCAACGGACGGAGAGATACCACTATGTTTTCTTTTTTTCTTTTTTTTTTCTTTTTTTACGACGACCACCCTTCACTTAGGGATACTGTTTCATCTGTCGGCATCATACGAGAGCAGCCAATGTCTCTAACAAGTGTTACCAGTCATACTTGCTTCTTCGTCACGGTCTGGCACTAGACGAGCGTCGTGTCAAATTCCTTCCTGAGGACTTCTACAAAAGGGTCGATGCCGCAGTTTGGAATGCAGTCTGAATCTTCAGAGTCCGCCGAGGTGTGGTTTGCGGGAAGTCATTCAGACATGTAGATCATTCCAAAACCACTGGCGTGAGTTTTGTATCTTTTCTAGCATGATTGCTCTCTGAGTCGTTCTCATCCTCTGTGTCGTCATCATCTCATTTCCCAGTGCACAGGAACAGTACGTGCGCGGGCGTCTCAACATCGGCCATGCGCATTTTGAACAAGCCGATTTTCATGATCGAGGGGGGCCCAGCTCAATGTAAGTGCTCGATCATTAGCTCGCGAGTCGAGAGTTCAATTGAGACAATCACGTCTCAGTGTTTTGGGGTTGGGACCTCAAGGTATTCTCATGTTTTTAATGCTACCGCGACAGGAGAGTTTTCTTGGCTCCTTTTGTCTATGCAGGAGATAAAATTTTCTGATTTCTCACTAACCATCTCTGTATTAGATCGTTCCACTTCATTTCTGTACTCACCCCAGAGCGTGCGACCTCATCTCCATCGAGCAAAGCCTCAGTGATCGAGGTCGTTCAGGCACGCTCAGGGCTTTGCCAAGTTGGAGTGATGTCCGGAGCGTTGAAATGCTGACAGCCTCGAATTTTCGCAGACAGTCAATCGGGGGATGGTCTCCGCCCACCGCAGAGGAAGTTGTAAAGAAGTAGTGCAAAGCACACGCAGTTGGAAGACCACGAAGGGCGGACGATACGTGGAGAAATCACGCAGCGAATCAGCCTGTAGTGGCGTTTTTTAATAATTTCACTGCAGAGCAGCGTGGTAGCAATCAGACACAATGCTATAGTAGAGAAAGTAATAGTCGTGTTAGAATGGGAGCAAGTGCAACAGAGAGCGTTGTAACGTTGGCCGTTGTTGAAGATAATGATGGTCCAGTCCAACGCGAGTGTCACTCCAACATAAATATTATTATTCGATATAAGAAATCAGGTGTGTAATTTAAACGACTAACGGTCGACCGACAATAGCCAAGCCTAAACGCCTAAGCTTCCTCCTTGAATTGGAAGGATTGAACTTAGTAACAAAATATCGTGCCAATGTATATGCCTTCGTAAGGACCAAGATGATCCAGTAGGTTTCCTTCAAAAATATTTGGAACTGTTTTGATCTGGCACTCTGAGTCGGTCGCGTCGTCATTTCCTGCAATAATTACTTCGTCGGTTATATAGACAAGACTAAGGAAATTCGACCCACCTGGACAAGCGACAGCGGAGCCTGGTCCGAGGATATGGATCTCGGTTTCAGGTTGAACATACCCGAGGTGTCTTCCAGGCAGTATAGGGATAAAATCTGAATTTGATCAGGACCAGCATTGGAAACTGAATGTGTCGCCGTACCACGTTTGTTATCAATCCGCTTGAAGTTTGGTACCTATAGGTCAAAGGGGTCAGCACAAACGAAAGCTACTTAACCATGTCTCCTACTTTAGAATCGATGAGCTCCGCAAAGGCCAAATTCCCGACACCTAAAAAGATCCGAAATGAGTAAATTATGGAAACTGAGCTATGCATCTGTATATGCCGCGAGGATACATACGAGGTGTTCCGTAAGTCATTACCTTGATGGATGCAGAGGGTATGTTTAGAGCGAAGAAAAGGCCGTCAAGTTCGGCCAGAGCTCCTCCAAGTGAATGTCCAACGACAACTAAATTGCTGGTTCCCTTGGACTCGATGAGTGATTGAACTTCAGTGAGAATTTCCCTAGCTGTTGAAGCCTGTGCATCTCTGAAACCGGCATGCACATATACTTCACTAGAGACACCAGGGAAAAGATCTGGGTTGAGATTGTCGTGGAGTGCGTCGACGTCTGTCAAAACAGATTCACTGAATAAAAAATTAGAATAAACCACTAGAACTTTGATGACAGATAACAATCTCACAGCTGGGTTGGATCAGTGCCTTCATGTCCTACAACTATGGCGTCTTCGGATGGCCAGTACCCAACGAAGACTAGAAGAATATATGTCAGCCTTTCTATGTGGGCCGGCCTGGCTGGGGAAACCACTAACAATACTGGACATCATCTCCATTGCCACCGACAAGTGTAGGTTCGAAGTCGGATACAGCATCACAAGCCTCTGAAAGACGGCCCTCAGCAACAGAAAAGGCATGGAGCACAACGCGTACCTCCGCAACTCCAGTTTTTCAAGGCGTCTGAACCGCAATATGCCGCCCTTGCGAACTGCGTGTACGGCGCAAATGAGGCAAGTTCAGCAACGGATAACGGGGTGACGCCAGGAGGGACTGGTCCCGAAGACGTAGGGTAGATTGTACCCAGAGTCGAAACCAACTGGAGCAAAAATGGCACATGCATCTTGGTACCGAGGCAAAGGAGGGAATAGAGAACAACCACCTAAAGCAAGGTATGTACTGTTATACTGCCATATACTGTAGCCCTGCCTTTTATACAGCGCAGAACTAAACCACATAACGCCTATGGATAGATTATCCGACAGCATCGCCACGAACTGGAGCATTCGCAAAAAGTGGTATGCATCGGAAACGGACTGATCCAGCGCACATTGTGAATGTCCACGGGTCGGAATTATCTGCGAAAGATATATTCTTGGTATGCTGCGATCATGTGGGGAAATCGGAAAAGAGAGTTACATAGCCAAGAAGGGTTATCTGACTGATGAACTACGCTTCCGACAGTGCATTGGCTTGTGAAATCTGACTGAGATGATTTAGGACCCTGTGAGTAGATAACACATACTGTAGATCTGTATGATCTGGGTGGGATAGAATTTCAATTTGTCAATGACTTCCCGGCTATCAGTTAATGAAGATTGTGCCAAGTTACTAAAGATCCGTCTTTAAAAAGGGCTCAGTTTTCTATGGGATTACGAAGCTGAAAGAAACGACAGCACCGATCCTACTGGCCTTCGTGACCTCACCATTGTTACCCAGGTCGCCGAATGTCATAAGGATTCGCGTACGCTAAGCGATTCATCGTATTCCTTGCTGAAAATCTGGACGTTGTTGGCTTTGCGTTCATCGTATAAAAATTTACCCTTACTCCTTGGTTCTCGCATCCATTTCCTGAAAATAGCTGCATAATCATTGCGGATCGACGGGACCGATATTGAGTGAGGAAATACGCACCTGAGGCCCGTCCATTTATCGATCAGTGCCAAGACTCTTCACGAAATGGGGCCTTGTCACAGCTCGAAACTTTGCTAAGTTCCATTGCAAGAACGAGAAGCGCGTTGTCTGGTACGAGCTCAGTGCTGGATGCAAACTGGTTCCTCCCACAGCAGAACAGCCGAATGATGGCCATTGTGCATGTGTTATTTGCATGTCCTGATTGCTGACAGTGAAATGTTGAGCCCAGACCCACTGTTTTCTTCTCACGATAGTCATGCCAACTAAGTTTGTGGACCCACAGAAATCTGCCTCGACGCAGTTTCCGAGCTATGACAATAAGACGGAGTGAGTCGAAGTTATCATCTACCAGGCAAGTGAAGTACCTGACAATTACATGTCGCTAGCCTTCACACAGGAACGTATTATTACGCATCTCGGATTCTTTGTTCAGGCTAGAGCTGATTGCCTAGAGCGTGAGACCTACCGGGCGGGCAAAGCGGTACCTCGTACCGAATATGCCGTAGTGCTAGCTAAAGAATAGTTCACGAAAAGCGCTTCGGCAGAGAAGGATCAAGCGAAGCGGATACGAGTGCCATACAATCGGAACATGACGTTGCAAGATACAGGTTGCAGTTATAAAACACCGAGTCCGCTTTGAAACGCCTTCAGTTCGACACAGCTTAATGGAAGAAATGGTGTGCTGAGGCCGAGCACTCTGCTTCAAAGTTCAAACGTTCAGGTCTGAAGCGCATGAATTGCAAACGGCGCTGCAAAGCCTTGAAGCAAGGGGAAAAGGTTGGGAGAAAGGAGTGAAGATTGGAATGATGAAAAGCTTTAATGAGAGGGAAAAAAAGAAGCCTTGGAATGCTGGATATGCGGAGGGGTTTAAACAGACGAAAGCTTCAGCAATGAAAGAGGGTATCCGGATAGGTAGGCGCGAAGGTCGCGAACAAGGACGGAACGAAGAACGCGGAGACGCGCTTGAGGCATTTGATAAATTCTTGGCAGAAGAGATGGATGGAAGTGAGGTACATTTACTCATGAAGATCGAAGTACTGCGACTAATGTTCAACGTTCATGACCAGCAGAGTGATCAGAGTGATTATGTAAGCGACGCGGAGGTTGGATGGGCTGGTGGTCACGAGCATAGGCGATGGTATGTTTTCTCCACCATGATCGTTGCCTACATTCTGATTACTTGCCAGGGAGTAGCATAATGACACTCATTTCTCATTGGGACATTAACCAGGCGACCGCTAAGTGTGGCTAAGAATTATGTAGTATGCTTGCCCTCAGCTTCGTCGTAATTATCCAAGGTCCTGTGCTCAGTTGGGAGTTGGCCGGAGAGAATGTGGTTATCGATGAATATCGCCACGAGTTTAGAACATAATCATCATAGCCGGCAGACACTTGGATTGGCGTGTACACCCGGACTGGACGAAAGCGGATGGCAGCCGTGTCCTTAAAGAACGCGGCAATCACGAACACCATCTATTTCTTCTACATTATGTCGTCGCCCTACGAGGCAGAAAGCCCCGGATTGAGCTCCTCTTCATCCTCCCTCCCAGGATGGCCCCCTCCATACTCGGTCCGATTCCTCCGACTAACCACTACAGAGCTACGCTCATGTAGTCCTCGAGGTCCGGACCCTGGTAGCGCTCCTCTTCAGTTTCGGAGACACAAACATTCTTGCATTTGGCACGAGTGTTCAGCTCCGACAAGGAACAATGAGCTCGGGAATAATCAGCACACCCCAAACAGCCATGTATGCTTTCCATCCACAAAGTTATCCCCTCTCTCCTTGGGTTTGGCCTACTCGCGGAGTCGTTCATGGACGGAATCTCAAGTCAACTAGGAACACCGAATCATATCCGTACCATTGCAGAGCAACGTCCTCTGACTTGGTCGCCCGGATTCGAAACCTATGCTTATTCCACCTTCCTAATAACCATTCTATGCATTCAACACGACTCCTCTTTGACTCTCCGCTCAGTTCTATGTGTCGCTCAGGGAACGTATACTTCTCCTCAGTCTCACCCCGCAATGCACCGAATGGGTGAACAATTTATGTATCGGATACGGCGCGGGAAAATGTTTCTACAAGAGATTGTCGACTCAAGACCTGTACCCTGGACCAACCACCCGAGTATCTGCATCGCTTCGTCAGCGACGGCACATAGGTGTCGGGAAGAGGAATTTAACGGAGAGCATCCTAAACAAATGCAGAGGGACTGAATATCTTGGCTTGCTCCCTTGTCTCCGTTGGTTCCTTTCCTCTCAAAATGGATGGGGATACGAGTCTTTGGGTAACCGTACACCATCAAGAGGGATGCCCGTCATGCGGCTACTGGCGCTGCATGGGTGGGTTCATTTTCTTACTGCCTAGCAGAGTATATGAGCATTCTGGTATCACATATTGATGGGTGGCAGCGATCTTGGATACACACTTCGTCCTATCGTTGTCTTCACCCAACCTATCGTGGGCATGTCCAACTTCCACTCCTCCGCACGCCGGGCCGAGTTCCCTTGGGCCTCCCTCAAACACAAGATGTCCTGAAATATTCGCGCGCTAAAACGTGATAAGCCACTGTATCGTATCAGCTGACGAGGTAAACTTACATGAGTAAAAATATCCGCCACTATACGAGTAGCCCAGACCTCCCTCCACAAGTTCTTAATCCAAAAGTCCCCTTTGCGAACTGGTATTCGTATTCGTTACGATTCTGAACATCGCAGTCTGCTTGGAGAATACACCAACTTCGAATGCTCATTGAATTCCACAATGGGCAAAGGCGGATCCGCAATGGTCTCGGCGACGGATAGAACCAGCAACGCCTGTAGGTGATTGATATAGTGAGGAGTCATTTGTGCTATGCAAACAAAGCTATGAGGTTGGATGATTATGAGCAAACTGATGGAATCAGTACTTACAACAGCATCTCTTCGCCATCTCACCTACTCAAAGACCGCCACCATAACCATGATATGGCTGTGATCCAAAACACAGTTATGTATCATCTCCTCAAAAACATTCACGTGAGGCCCAGGAGGGTCGCGATAGTGTCGTCTGTTGGGGGAGTGTCACACTTGACAGACTAGCTCGTCGAGATCGACATCGTCATGATCCCCGGCCAGCTCCCGTTTAAGCAGTGTTCCCTGGATGTACATGCTCCCAGCTGAGAGAGCTATATCCGATAGAGCAGATATGATTTAATGTTAACAAAACATTCCGATCGTTCAAACTTCAAAGCCTCAGCGATCGCCTGAAGCATGATCCACATTTACAACAAGAGATATGACCTGACAGATAATCAGAAGGTGATGAATAAGGATAATAGTAGGAAAACATACCATCGTTATCACTAGCCAGTCGAGGATGGATCTCTCCATTAAAGCCACATTCCCTTCTCTTCCCACCACTAGTCATGGAGCTTGTTGGTGGAGATTTGGCAATGGAGCATTGCGTTTCCTCCGTCATAGGCATTCCTCATATCTTGCAAGGCTCCGCACTGATTCATGGCAATATTTCTCTCAGGCATGAACAAAGCAAACTGTGAAGGTCCAAAGTAGTAACACACTAGTCAGTACTCTGCCAATGCAAGTGTGTCAACTGGTGGGAATTCACCATGTTCTAGGTTCATACTTCTTCTATACGCCGCCTAAGAGGAATGGATTTTTATCATATGTCTGGCCTCTACAGGCCTTCATGTATATATGTTTTCTGCACACATGCAACATTCATGGCTGGTCTCAATTATCCCAATTATTAGCCACGAATGATGCTACGAACGTTGAGCGTTTCCAGCGACCATAATACGTGTCATCATAAAGATTAATGGTCCATATAAGAAATCAGGTGTGTAATTTAAACAACTAACAGTCGACCGACAATAGCCAAGCTTAAACCCTTAAGCTTTCTCCCTGAGTTGGAGGAGTTGAACCTAATGACAAAATATTGTGCCAAGGTAAATGCCCTCGTAAGGACCAAGATGATCCAGTATATCTCCTTCAAAAATATTTGGAACCGTTTTGATTTGACACTCTGGGTCAATCGCATCGTCGTTACCTGCGAGCGTTGCTTCGTCAGTTATTTAGACAAGACCAAGGAAATTTGACCCACCTGGACAGACGACAGCGGAACCTGGTTCGAGGATATGGATCTCGGTTGCAAGGTGAACATATCCGAGGTGTCTTCCAGGCAGTATAGGGATAAGATCTGAATTCGATCAGGACCAGCATTGGAAACTGAATGTGTCACCATACCACGTTCGTTATTAATCCGCTTGAAGTTTGGTACCTATAGGTCAAAGGGGTCAGCACAAACGAAAGCTACTTAAACACCTCTCTTACTTTAGAATCGATGAGCTCCGCAAAGGCCAAGTTCCCGACACCTAAAAAGTTCTGGAATGAGTAAATTATGGAAACTGAGCTATGCATCTGTATATGCCGCGAGGATACGTACGAGGTGTCCCATAAGTTATTACCTTGATGGATGCAGAGGGTATGTTTAGAGCGAAGAAAAGGCCGTCAAGTTCGGCCAGAGCTCCCCCAAGTGAGTGTCCAACGACAACTAAATTGCTGGTTCCCTTGGATTTGATGAGTGATTGAACTGCAGCGAGAATTTCGATAGCTGTTGAAGCCTGCGCATCTCTGAAACCGCCATGCACATGAACATTACTGGGGACACCAGGGAAAAGATCCGGGTCGAGATTGTCGTGGAGTGCGTCGACATCTGTCAAAACAGCTTGGCTGCATAAAAAAATTAGAATAAACCACTAGAACTTTGATGACAGATAACAATCTCACAGCTGGGTTGGGTCAGTGCCTTCATGTCCTACAACTATGGCGTCCTCGAATGGCCAGTACCCAACGAAGACTAGAAGAACATATATCAACCTGACTATGTGGGCTGGGGAGACCACTAACAATACTGGACATCATCTCCATCACCACCGACAAGTGTAGGTTCGAAGTCAGGGACAGCATCACAAGCCTCTGAAAGACGGCCCTCAGCAACAGAAAAGGCATGGAGCACAACGCGTACCTCCGCAACTCCAGTTTTTCAAGGCCTCTGAACCGCAATATGTCGCCCTTGCGAACTGCGTGTACGGCGCAAATGAGGCAAGTTGAGCAGCGGACAACGGGATGACGCTATGAGGGACTGGTCCCCAAGACGTAGTATAGCTTATACCCAGGGTCGAAACCAACTGGAATACAAATGGCACGTACATCTTGGTACCAAGGAAAAGGAGGGAATAGAGGTCAAACACCTAAAGCAAGGTATGTGCTGTTATGCCGCCATACAGTGTGGCCCTGCATTTTATACAGCGCGGAACTAAGCTATATAATACCTGTGGATAGACTATCCGACAGTATCGCCGCGAACTGGAGAATTCGCAAAAAGCGGTATGCATCAGAAACGAACTGATCCAGCGCGCGTTGTGAATGTCCACGAGTCGGAATTGTCTGCGAAAGATATATTCTTGGTATGCTGCAATCACGTGGGGGAATCGGAAAAGAGAGTTACATAGCCAAGAAGGGTTGTGTGATCGATGAACTACACTTCCGACGGTACATTGACCGGCAAATCTGACTGAGATGTTTCGGAAGGAAGAAGGTGAGACCCTGTGAATAGACACACGTGTATTGCAGATTCGTATGCTCTGGGTGGGACTGAATTACAATGATTTCCCGGCTATCAGTTAATGAAGGTTGCGCCAAAGTACTAAAGATCCGTCTTTAACCAGGTCTCTGTGGGATTTCGAAGCTGAAAGAAACGACGGCGCCAATCCTATTGGCCTTCGTGACCTCACCATCGTTGCTCAGGTCGCCGAATGTCATAAGGATTCGCGTACGCTAAGCGATTCATCGTATTCCTTGCTGAAAATCCGGACGTTGTTGGCATTGCGTTCACCGTATAAAAGATTACCTTTACCCCTTGGTTCTTGCATTCATTTCCTTAAAATAGTTGCATAATCATTGCGGATCGACGGGGCCGATAATCAGTGAAATACGCACCTGAGGCTCGTCCATTTATCGATCGGCGCCAAGAGTCGTCCCCAAATGAGGCCTCGCCGAAGTTCAAACCTCTGCTAAGTTTCACTGCAAGAACGAGAAGCGCGATGTCTGGTATGAGTTCAGTGCTGGATGCAAACTGGTTCCTCCCACAGCAGAACAGCCGAATCATCTGAGAACATATTATTGCGCATCTCGGATTCGTTCTTCAGGCTACTGTGATTGCCTAGAGCGTGAGACCCACCGACGAAGTGGTAGCTCGTGCCAAATATGCGAAAATGCTAGCCAATGAATGGTTCATGAAAAGCCCTTCAGCAGAGAAGGATCGAAGCGAAGCGGATACGAGTACATTACAATCGGAACATGACGCTGCAAGGCACAAGTTTCGGTTAGGAAACGCCTAGCCTGCTTTGAAACACCTTCAGTTCGACACAGCTCATTTGGAGAAACGGTGTACTGAGGCCGGGCACTCTGCTTCAAAGTTCAAATATTCAGGTCTGAAGCGCATGAATTGCAAACGGCGCTGCAAAGCCTTGAAGCAAGGGGAAAAGGTTGGGAGGAAGGAATGATGATTGGAATGATGAAAAGGCTCAATGAGTGGAAAAAAGGAAGCCTTGGAATGCTGGATATGCGGAGGGGTTTAAACAGATGAAAGCTCCAGCAATGAAAGAGGGTATCCGGATAGGTAGGCACGAAGGTCTGCGCGAAGGTCGTGAACAAGGACGCGACAAAGAACGCAGAGACGCGCTTGATGCATTTGATAAATTCTTGGCAGAGGAGATGGATGGAAGTGAGGTATATTTACTCATGAAGATCGAAGTACCGCGACTGATGTTCAACATTCATGACCAGCAGAGTGACCGGACTCGAAGATGGACAGCATCGATATATCATCCGGATAGTGGCACAAGTCCATCTTTTTCTCGATGATGGCATTCCCTCTAGCAAGATGAGACATTATTGAACCTCAGAAGCCGACACTGAACTTCAAATTGATAGATCAGAAACAGAGGTACCAAGGCTTGTGAACGTACGGGTTATACATGACTATCATACAAACCACCATCTTGTCCGCAATTTTCGAGGTAAGAAACAGGCAAAGTGAACAAGACCGATGTGTTTGAAGCCGACGCGCCGTGACATTAGTTATATAAGCGACTGGGCGGCCCGCATGCCTTGTCTTTATGTCCGACCTTTTCTCGACGGACTGCTGCTTCCCTTTCGCTCTGCCCTTCGGTCTCAAGACCATTCATATGGAGGTGATATGCCAGTAGAGGAGTTTGGAAAATGCAGGCCTGATCAATGAAGAAAACTCAGCTTCGGTTGTCGGAATGGATGATGGATGTGGAGGGAGCGAGTGGCCGCTCTCAGCAAGTTGGCCAGGGTGACGGGTGATTATGCAGGCAGTGTTTACTGCTGATAAGCTCCTTTGTGTTTTTTGGTTGTGAGGCTGACGGCCGTAGTATCATTCTGTTCAACCTCGCTCGTCTCGATGCTGAAGTTGAATAGACCATTGCTATTGCAGGTAACGAGGCTTTAGTTTGACATCCGTAACGTGTTGTTAAACTTGGATCATGTGTCCTTAGGCCTCAGTGCTAGCGCTCAGCTTTGGGGCTCGCTCGCCCAAGACGCCTTGCTCAAGTGGGACTTGACAAGACGCCACCACCTACACCTGATGTCTTTGCCTCTTGACCTCCGGAAGCAAGTCCTGAATCAAGCTGCTCTTCGTCCTCACTACCAGAGGGTGCCTCCGAGTAACCACCATGGCGCTATGCTATAGGAGCAATGTGCTGAGTAACTGTCCAGGTTCGAACCCTGGTAGGCTGTCCTCAGCGTCAAAGACTGGGAAACATCTTTTTATCGGTGCGAGTGGTCGGCTCTGACTTGGAAATGAGGTCACCAGTCAGGTGTTGGTTTCCAGTCCACCCCGAACACCGCTGTATGCTTGCACTTCGCAAAGTTATGCCCTCTCTCTGGCTCAGGTTTAGCCTACTTGTGGAGCCCTTGGCTACAATTATGCACTCAAATGAACAGCGTCCTATCGGTTGTCGAGATTCGATTGGAAAGGCTAATGCATATCTGTACGACACTTCACCATAGCAGAGCAACGTTGTCTCAGCCGGTCACCCAGGTTCAAAACCTAATACAAGTAGTGCCTACGCATATTTCTGTGTTCTTCCCTCCCAGCAATAACCATGCTGGCTTCTTTAATATAATGGCAATCATCCCAGGACCAACACGACCCCAAGGCCTTCCTCCTGTGTCTGTCTCCCCATGTGCATTGCATTTCTCAGGGCATATACGCGCCTCCTCTTCACAGCAACTCTGCAGGACAGGATCATACCCGCCTGTTCTACCGTGCACAATTGCATGAATGGTGAGCAGTTTATGTATCATTCCTATGATGGCTAATGGCCACAATCTCAGGTGGCCTCTAGGAGATTTTGTCGATATGATTTACCCCTCCAACTCTCGGAGAGGCGTATTGAATTTTGGTGAAAACGTGTACCACATGCTTGTCGGATATATATTGAAGTATGGAGAACTTAGAAGACACGAAACATATGAGCCATAAACAGCAAACATTGAACGTGTGTTTAGGTTCAGCGTAACCGGGGTTTGCGAGGCCCGATTCGATTCTGATATCATTTCCGTTCAAGATTCAGTTCTTTCCGATAATGTTATATCAGCCCAAGCCTTCCAAGTCGGAGGATTCGTTGTCGCGACGGGACTATGAGAATTGACGTTGTCCTCGTTCTGTCGGGGCGCTATGGTATAGTGACAGCACATCTTGCAGTTTCTTTTTGATGTAACGATGTTATTATTTATATCAATAACCAACAATTAACAGCCAAGTTCTAATATTAACAACATAGAGACATTTTTTCTTCTGGCTTGCAGAGAACTTGACCCCACCTTATCTCTGAGATGTAAATTCGGAAGCGGCAGTGGCCGGAACACCTCGTCTTGATTACATACCATGGCGACTTACCACTACCATCCTCCCATCGCTTTTCCACCTTTCCGGCCTGTTGAATGAGACACATGCACCCAATTCTTTCCCGCCTACTTACCCATATTTCATTTCCTGACCTCCTATACTTCATACCATCTGAATATATACTGCATCCTCAGTCATTTCACCTTTTACTGTGCTGACTGAGGTATGCTCACTAACTCATACCTATATACTATTACTTACTTATCCTGATAGTTCTCATAACATCATTCTTATTACTTTAGGTTATGTGGCCCTGCCCTAGCCTTTGAATCAGTCAAGGACAACACACAGTATATTATATCCACAAAGTGACCCACTACCCACATGAAAAACCATGACCCCTAAACATGTTGACTACAAGCCCATCCATTATCCAGCTCCCTGAAGCCTCCCAGTTCAATGGCAAGAACTTAGCCACCTGGAGAGTTAAAATCACTGAAATTATCAGTGGCAAAGGCTTATGAGGATATGTGGATGGGTTTATACCATACTCCTCTACTGCACTGATGAGCCAGGGCACAGCACTGACTACTATGTGACTTCCACCAGACCCCACACCACTTTATTCATTCACACCATTATTAGACAAATGGAAGTTCAGGAACTCTCATGTATGCTCACACATCATACTCAACATATCTGACCCTATAGAGTTAGGAGTCAAGATGACAGAAATAGTGAAAGAGGCATGGGACTCAATCATTGACACCTATGCTGCCCAGAATGACATGATACTGTCAGAAGCATAACATGTTCTCTAGAACATCAAGTATATGGAGGGTGTCAATATAGAGGCTCACATTCAGGATCTATATACAAAGCATACCAACATGGACAACCTATCTGAGACAGAATATGAGCTAACAGACAAAGACTTCAGAGGGATAATCATATGTTCTCTCCTTCATACCATGAACTGGCTCCCCATTATCCCTTCTCTATACCAATGCAAGATGTCAGTCAAAATAATGTCCCTACTCCAAACACATCACATCATCTTGTATTCTGCAAAGAAAGTGATGAACCAGAAAGTTGTTTGTTAGAATCCCTGCAGGCAGGAAACACAAAACCTATAATGGTAAGTGAAACCAAAGCACAGAATCTGAAGGCTGGTTCAAGCAAGTCTAGTTATGTACCTCCATATAGTGACTAATCTCCAAAAGGGTGTAGCAGAGAATAGCTACAGATGTTATGACTTTCTGAAACTATAATCAGAGAGTCAAAGCATAGACACAAAATTTTCTATGTCAGGAATGCCACATAGATATCTGGGTTTTGGACAGTGCAATCTATCTGTGACATGAATTTTTAATGTCAGAAATCTATATGTGGTCCCATTGGTGTCTAGAGGGAATAGTTAGTGTCATCCTTTAGAGCAGGGCCAGTAAACTATGGTGTAAATTTAAAGGTGCAGAATCCTATCTATAATTACCCTTCACTATCTTTTAATTATATCTGAGAGGTGTGAGGATGACATGCAAGGACAGTGGATCTCTTTCATGTTTTTGGGAAGAAAGTAAGATAAAGCAATACTTCATGAATTAATAGTTTGCTAGTTCTGTATATGAGACTCCCAGTGAGATGCAAGTTTGTTGAGATGCTATAGTGCTCTCTGTTAAAGGGTTTTAATCTATATGCAATCAATGTAACTGGTTTTATTAGAGAAGTATTTGTACAAGTGTACAAGCTAGTGTGAATATTGAGTAGGCTCAGTATGGCTTATCTCTAGAGTGTAACTTAGTCTCCTTTTTTCTAGTATAATACTCTACTTATACTACTCTTCTACTAATCTTAAGTATGCTATATTAAACAGCATTTGTAACCATAGTATTAAGCTTAATGAGTGTAGCAAACTTTTTATTATGTGAAGCCTTCAAGACTGTGAGGCTGGTATTAAACATAGCATATTTAAAAGTTTATATAGCCAATAGTATGCTAGTTCTTCTAATATTCCTTACAAATATCTAACCAACTACATGGTTAGTTCTCTGTGGCTGACTAGTCTTCCATATGCTAGCTGTGAAAAGCTTAGACATCTGCAGCCAGCCTTGTATACACATTATGATAGACCTTGTGGACTATATTAGAGTGCTATATGTATACTAATAATGATGTATGTTATATATGATCAGATATTGTGATGCCTGGCTGTGTCTATAGCACCTATTATCAAAGAGAAAGATTGTGTGCCATGAAAGTTAATGAGAAAAAGTTCATAAACTAAAGGAAAGTTTGTGAATAATGAAAAGTTCTCAACAAAATTACTTTTATTGAACTTGAAATGATTGGTTTACTGAAAGTCTGTCTAAGGGCAGAAGTCAAAAATAATTATTGAGGCCCACAATTTCAGAGTGCACAGAGCCTAGAGGCTCATCAATGGCAGACTTATTCCTTGCTCCAAATGCCAAGTCTTCAACTGGAAAATACTGTATCAATTCTGACTGTAAAGCATGGAAGTATTTGATTCATAATATATCAGATTGCTACTGATCTGGTGGAGGAAAGGAGAGTCAATTTCCAGAGAATTTTGGAAGAAACAGATGCATGAATCAGACTAACAATGCTTCAACCAATTTTCAAGCTAGGAATGGCACTCTCCAAGTAAACCTAACAGTTGCTTATATACTCCATATTGCATTTATGGTGCATTCAATGTTTACCCATGAGTAAGGAGTAATAATAGAGAATATTCTGGATAAAGATAATATTGAGACTTACATCAGAGAAGGGAGCCCTATGTGTATCCATAGACTGAGCAATAGTGAGATCATGTCTCCTCTGGAGGATGTTCATTCAAAATATGAGATTGACTGAGCTTCCATCTATACTGGGTTGGATTTCAAAGAGTTGACTTGTTAAGCCCAAGCAACATGTGATCTAAACACATGATAAGTGAGCATTATACCAAGTTTGTACAGTCATGCCTAAGTTCACTTATATGCTTGTGTGGTGTTGTATCTCAAG